TGAAGGCCAGATTGGGCTTCATTTTCTTCCATGTGCAGTTGGGAACTGCATACAAGTTTGATGTTATAGCCCTACCAGCCAGCTAGCCCACATTCCTCACCCGCAAACTCAGGCCCTCCTGCCTTCCTGTTAGTGATGGGGAAAGAAAATCAACTTAACATGACCAGTGTTTTAATTTTCTTTATTTGAAATGTCTTTGTCAAGTTTAGTATCAGGATCATGCTGACCTCATAAAATGCACTGGGATGTGTTTCTTCCTCCCAGGTTTCTGAAAGCATTTGTGTAAGACTGTTCTGTTTTTTCTTACCTAAATGTTTAGCAGAGTTCAGAGGGAAGATTTTGATAACAAATTCAATTTCTTTTATATATATAGGACTAGTTAAGAATTTTTATTTCATCTTGTGTCAGTTTAGTAAGTTGTATTGTTCAGAAAATATGTCCATTCCTTCTAAGTTGTTGAATTTATTAGCATACACTTGTTCATATTTGTTGGATCTGTAATATATTCACATACTTAATCTGATATTGGTAATTTCTCTTTTTTTTCTGGATAAGTCTATATATAGTTTATAAACTTTGATGTCATTTCCCTTAGAAAAACCCCAAAATGGTTTATACCTATTAATTTCCTCTATCATTTGTCTGTTTTCTGTTTCATACGTTCCTCCTCTTATAATATCTTTATTGTTTCCTTCCTTCTACTTTCTTTGTTTTTTTTGTTGTTGTTGTTGTTATCTTGAGACATAGTCTTACTCTGTAGCCCAGGCTGGAGTGCAGTGGCATGATCTCAGCTCACTAACCTCCACCCCTCAGGTTCAAGAGATTCTTCTGCCTCAGCCTCCCAAGTAGCTGAGACTACAGGCGTGTGCCACCACACCCGGCTAATTTTTGTATTTTTAGTAGAGACGGGGTTTCACCATATTGGCCAGGCTGGTGTTAAACTCCTGACCTCAAGTGATCCTCCCACCTCGGCTTCCCAAAGTGCTGGAATTATAGGCATGAGCCACTGCACCCAGCCCCTCTACTTACTTTGGATTTACTTTTCTCTTCTTTCTCTGGATCTTACTGTGGAAACAAAGGTCATTCATTGTATACCTTTCTTCCTTCCTATCCTAAGCATTTAAAAGGTATAAATTTCTCTTTTAGCACTACTTTAGCTGTATTCCACAAATTTTGATATATTTTCATTATCATTTCGTTTGAAATAGTTTCTAACACATCTTATGACTATTTTCTTTGACCCATGGATTATAGACAATATGTTTTTAAATGTCCAGATACGTGAATTTTATCCTTCTTTGATATCTTATTGTTTTTGGTTTCTAATTTAATTCCATTGTGATCCAAAAACATTGTCTGCATTATTTTAATCCTTTAAAATGTGCTGAGAGTTGTTTCATGGCCCAGCATTTCATTTATCTTGGTAAACATTACATGTTACTTGAAGATGTTTATTCTGCAATTGTTGGGTATAGCGTTCTATAAATGTCAATTTACTAGGTAAAGGAGATTGAAAATTATTCAGGTCTTTTATCTGCTTGTTCTGCCAATTGCTGTTAAAAGTAATGTTAAAATCTCCAACTATATTACATAAGCAGAATAGGCATAAAAAAATCTCCAGCTGTCATTGTGGAGTTGTCTCTTTCTCCTTCAATTGTGTTACTTTTTCATGTTATGTATCTTAAACCTGCTTTATTAGACCCATATACATGTATAATTATTGTGTCTTGTGTAAATTTATTCTTTTATTATTACAGTATGTCTGTTTTTTACTTTTTGTCTTGTGGCATCTATTACATCTGATATTAATACAGCCAATCCAGCCCTCTTAGGCTTACAGTTTGCATAATAAATCTTTTCCTGTCATTTGCTTTCAACATATCTGTATTTTTATATTTAAAGTTCATCTCTTATGGAGAAACTATGTTGAATCTTACTCATTTATCTCCTTTGAGAATTTCTTAATTCTAATTGGAGCATTTAGTTTATTTCCATTTAATTAAATTATTGATAGAGTTGAGTTTAGACCAACAACTTTACTACTATTTTCTGTTGGTCCTGTCTGCTTTTTGTTTTTAAATTCTCTGTTACTACTTTCTCAATTTTTTTGTTTAATTAAATTTTTTTGAGAATTATTTTTTAATGAATGTTGGCTTTTTAGCTATATCACTTTGTATTGTTTCAAGTGGTTGCTCTAGGGGTCACAGTTTACATCCTTGATTTTTCACAGCCTACTTAGATTGAATATTGGACCACTTTGTGTAAAGCAGAATCTTTCTGCAAATAGAGATTCATTTACTTCTTCTGTTTTGGTTGTCATAGGTACTTTATCTAAAAATGTTATCAATCCCACAATAATGTGGGGTTTAAAGCAAATATAGATTTTTCTTTAGTCATGTTTGTTTATGACAAATTAGGAGAAAGGGATAATCTTAATATTTAGCCACATGTATATCATTTGGGGCATTGCATTGTTTTCTAAAGACTGAGTGTCCACCTGGCATTAATTCCTTTTGCCTAAAGAACTTCCTTTGTGTTTCTAGCCAGGCACTCTGGCCCATTCCTGTAATCCCAACACTTTGTGAGGCTGAAGTGGGTGGATCACGAGGTCAAGAGATCCAAGACCATCCTAGCCAACATGGTGAAACCCCGTCTCTACTAAAAATACAAATGTTAGCTGGATGTGGTGGTGCACCCCTGTGGTCCCAGCTATTCGGGAGGCTGAGGCAGGAGAATCACTTGAACCCAGAAGGCGGAGGTTGCAATGAGCCAAGATTGTGCCACTGCACTCCAGCCTGGCAATAGAGCAAGACTCTGGCTCAAACAAACAAACAAAAAACTTCCCTTGTGTCTCTTGTACTGTAGGTCTGCTAATAAAAATTATCGTAGTTTTCATTTATCTGAAAATATCTTTATTTCGCCTTCATTCTCAAATGGTTTTTTGTTTTGTTTTTTTTTTGCATTTAGTTGACTTTTTTCCTACTTTCATCATTTTAGAAATGTCATTCCACTGTCTCCTTGTGTCCATTGTTTCTGACAAGAAATTATTGTTATTTCATGTCATTCCACATTATGGAATATGTTAATCTGTGGTTAATCTGTGGTTGTTTTCAAGAGTTTCACTTTAACCATGGTTTCAGAAGTTTGATTCTAATGTGCTTACATGTGGTTTTCTTTGTATTTTTCCTACTTGGGCTTCACTGGGTTTGTTATAGTTACATCTGTAAATTTATGCCTTTCACCAAACTTGGGAAATTTTTTCCAATTATTTTCTCAAATATTTTTGCTCTGTCTCCCCTGTTTTTGAGACTACAACTACACATATGTTAGACCTTTCCACATTGTTTCCACAGATCACTGAGACACTTCACTTTTTTCTAATCTTTTCTCTTGTTTTTTTTTTTTTTTTTTTTTTTTTAAGATTAGGTACTTTCTATTGCTCTAGCTTCAGATTTATTGACTTTCTCATTTTAAGTTATCTGCAAATTTTAAATACAGCTTTAAAAAAATTTTTTTGCATTTTCATTTGTTTCTCTTTTGTAGTTTTGATTCCTCTGCTAAAATTTTCTATCCTTTCATTCATTGTGAGCATGTTTTTCTCTAAATCCTTGAAATGGTTATAATAGTTGTTTTAAAATCCCTGTGTGCTAATTCCAACTTCTGGGTCATCTCAGAGTCAGTCTTCACTTATTTGCCTTTTGTCTTGAGATCACATTTCTCTGTTTCTTCATAAATCTAGTAATTTTGGATCACATGAGTATTATGAATGATGTGTTGTAGGGACACTGGAATCTGTTATGTCCCTCTGAGGAATTTGTTTTCTTTGTTTTTGTTTTTAAGCAGGCAGTTAATTTAACTTTAATTCAAACTCCAATCCTGCTTTTTGTGGAGTGGAGCAGCTGAAAACTCAATTCAGTTATTTTAGACTCATAAGGCCTATTTGGAGTTATCCCTGTGCATATTTAGTGCAGGGTCAGCCAAAGATTTTATCAAGGTTCACATATAGAATCCCCCTTGCCCTGCCCCACCCATGGCTTGTATCTTTTGTGGGTTTCCCTCTCACTCTCCAGCTGCCATGGCCTCCAAAATCTGTCCTGTCGTTCTCCAAGCCAATAAGACTGGATTTCTGCTAGAATTTTACCCACCTAGAAAGCTGCAACTAGGGTCTACCCTCCAGCAAAATGTTGTATCAAAACAGGAAAACTACATGGCCATTTCCTTCTTTCAAGTATAAGTTTACTTCCAATTTCTTTCAGGTCTTCTAGAGTGCCTTTAGATTAATCTAATTCTATTTTATATTTTGTATGGAGCTTATATTTGTTACCTGAGAGTGGGTTGACCTGATAGCAATTACTTCTCCATTTCATTCTGGAAACCTATTTGCATTAAGTTTTTATTCACCAAGAAATCAGTGTTTATTAGTTTTCACAGTACCCCTATGTAAGAGTTCGCTGGTACTTGTGTTAAGTAGATTTTTCTCTGTTCTACTACTGTAAAATATTTATTCATTCATTCACTCATTCTCTCTATATATTTTTAGGATCTGCTATGTTCTAGGCATTGGATAAAAGTGAATAAGATATGGTATTTGCCCTCACTGAGCACAGCTACACTGTGCATTACAGTAGTTACTAGCCACATGTAGCTATTTTAAAATTATTTTTACATTCAATGAAAATAAATAAAATTAAGAAGTTAGTTCCTCTGTTGACAGACAGGTATTATGTTAATACCACTAGCCACATTTCAAATGCTTAATATGTAACCACATGTAGCTATTGACTACCATAGTAGACAGCACATATATAGAACATTTCTATCATCCCAAAAGTTCAGATGTACTGTGTTAGTGTAGGAGAAGAGAGAAATATGAAAATTTTTCACTAAAATATAGTATGATAACATATAAATAGAGTTAGATACAAGCTGTGGCAGCTGAACAGATGTGATACTATTTAATTGATATTGCAAAGATCCAAAGGGGAGATAATATGTAAGCTGAATTTTTAATGATTAGAAAGATTTGATCAGTTATCTTAGGAAATATAAAGAACATGTCAATAAGCATTGAAGACTTAAATCAGATTATGAAACTATTTTTTAAAAGCCCTGACTCTCATATTTCTATTTTAGGCATCTGAATAAATGATAATATTCATTGTTTGGAGATCATAAATGGAGCACATTTATGAGAAAAGTGGTAAGTTTGAATGGGGCCATTTTGAATTTGGCATGCCTGTTGGACACTTAAGGAAGCTGGATGTATAGTTCTTGAGACTGGAGAAAGGTGGTTTGAGTTAGAAAAGCAGATTTGATGGCATAATATATTTTAGGTGGTTGTTAAATTTGTTAGCATGTTTGAGACGTCCTAGAGGATGTGCAGTGAGAAACAAAAGGACCTAGCACGTCGTGATGATTTAATGTATGTCAGACATTCTGTTAGGCACTTTGCATGTATTTGGGAAGAAATGCAATTACAATTACAATTGTATTTTGGTATGAGAGACCTGGATTTGAATCCTTGCTCTACTACTTCACTGTGTGTGACCTTGAGCAATACACTTAGTTTCTCTAAACTCCAGTTTTCTCATCTTTCAAAAAGGGTAATAATAAGGCCTACTTCATTTGGTTGTGTGAGAATTAAATACAAAATTTGGAGTGTCTAGCATATGGTAAGTCACCAATACATATAATTCACTCTTTTTAATTATTAATATTATTATTATTAATGACATATTATTTAGCCTTCATAACAACCTTATGAAGTACCTTTATTGTCTTCCTTTAACTGCAAATATTATGATTGACTAAGGTTTCTAGTTGGCAGCTAGATGATCCAGAGAGAATCCAGGTTTAAATTAATTGAAATTTAAAATTTCTCTCCAGGGCGCTTTTTTTTTTTTTTTTTTTTTTTTTGGAGACAGAGTCTCGCTCTGTCACCCAGGCTGGACTTCAGTGGCCGGATCTCAGCTCACTGCAAGCTCCGCCTCCCAGGTCCACGCCATTCTCCTGCCTCAGCCTCCCGAGTAGCTGGGACTACAGGCACCCACCACCTCGCCCCGCTAGTTTTTGTATTTTTTAGTAGAGACGGGGTTTCACCGTGTTAGCCAGGATGGTCTCGATCTCCTGACCTCGTGATCCGCCCGTCTCGGCCTCCCAAAGTGCTGGGATTACAGGCTTGAGCCACCGCGCCCGGCCGGCTCTTTTTATAAAACTGCTTTGTGGTAGTTTCTTACAGACATTTGAAACAAGTATTTGATGAAATTATATTCATAAGAATATATATATTCTTCATTGTTGTTATTTAAAGAAAAACAGGACAACTCCAGACACGACTCCACAACAACTATGTAATCATATTTCAGTACATGTAACCTCTCTCTTTGCCAGGATAGTTAGTGCCATAAAAGTAATACCTGTCAACAGATTTGATTACCCTCTGCTTTTAGACAACTGAAAATAATAATCTTAGATGTCAGAGTATCAACCAAGAACTACAAAAATGTTCTTCTCCATTAAGTTTTGGACAGATAACCTATACTTACTTTGAAATATCTTGCTAAGACTGAAGTCTTAATATATAAATACAGTGAAAATAATTTGTGCCACCCACCAATTTCAAAGGCTAGTTGATAAGTGATTAGAGCAGCTTTATGTCTCTGTAAAGAGTTATAGGAACCTAATGATTTATTAGCATTTCAACTGCTGCCTTCTTTTTCCTTTCATGCTCTGACAGTTCTTGTCATAACACCCTTAGCTGGTGATTTAGTGGAATCTCCCTTAGCTGATGATTTAGTAGTAAGCAGATCGTAGATTTAATATTACACAGCTCCCCTATTTAAAGCTGCAGGGTATTTGTTCCAACGGAACTTTACTTATGTAGCAAACATTCATTGGTACCTTGTATATCAGATACTGTCCAAAAGTGGAAACCCCAAACTGAAAAGGCATAGTCCCTTTCTTTAATGAGTTAATATTCTAGTGAACATAGTGGACTTCTTTACAGAGTAGATTTCTCTACAGAGAAATCATTGCGATAAGTTTTGTAATAAAGGGATGTTAAAGTTGTATGTGGAGCTTAGGCAAAGCAGTCTTCAAAGAAGAGGTTACATTTGAGTGTAATATTATAAGTATGTACATTTTTAAAGGCCATTAAATTGAACACTTACAATTTATGCACTTCAGTTATGTAAATTTTATCTTTAAAACTATAAAGAGATATTTAACTATAGTTAGCAGGTTTGCTTTTCACAAGGGTATGGGCTGGCAATTCAGAAACATTCTCTGTATTCTAGACTTAATAAAATGCATTTACTATAGTAATATTTTATAATTTTATATACATAATATATGTATAATATATATCTCATATCTATGATAATAAGAGAATGAGAGTCAGGTTTCCCACTGTTGAGAAGGGAAATGCATATGGACATGGGTAAAAGGCAATGTACTCTGTAATGTTTGATTGCAATTGGAAATATCCGTGTAAACTTATGGTTTTTAATAGTAAAACTTCAATCTTAATTTTTATTTTTTTAACTTTGGTTTTAGGTTTGGGGTATATGTGCAGATTTTCTATATAGGTAAATTGCATGTCAGGGGGGTTAGGTGTACAGATTATTTCACCACCCAGGTAATAAGCATAGTACCTGATAGGTAGTTTTTTGATCCTCATCCTTCTCCCTCCCTCCACCCTCAAGTAGGCCCCAATGTCTGTTGTTCCCTTCTTTGTGTTTATATGTACTCAATGTTTAGCCCCCACTTAAAAGTGAGAATATGCAATATTTGTTTTCTGACCTTGTGTTAGTTTATGTAGGATAATGGCCTCCAGCTCCATCCGTATTGCTGTAAAGGACATGTTCTTCTTGGTTTTTTGTGTCTGTATAGTATTCCATGGTATATATGTATCATATTTTCTTTATCCAGTCTACTGTTGATGGGCATTTAGGTTGATTCCATGTCTTTGCTGTTGTGAATAGTGCTGCAGTGAACATACATGTGCATGTGTCTTTATGGTAGAATGATTTATATTCCTTTGGGTATATATCTAATAATAGGATTACTGAGTTGAATGGTAGTTCTGCTTTGAGTTATTTGAGAAATTGCCACACTGCTTTCTATAATGGCTGACCTAATTTACCTTCCCACCAGCAGTGTATAAACATTCCCTTTTCTCCACAACCTCACCAGCATCTGTTATTTTTTGACTTTTTATTAATAGCCATTCTGACCGGTGTGAGATGGTATCTCATCATGGTTTTGATTTGACTTTCTGTAATGATTAGTTTGTTGAACATTTTTTCATACGCTTGTTGACTACATGTGTATCTTCGGAGAATTGTCTATTCATATCCTTTGCCCACTTTTTAATGGGATTTGTTTTTTGCTTGTTGATCTGTTTAAGTTCCTTATAGATTCTGGATATTAGGCTTTTGTTGTATGCATAGTTTACAAATACTTTCTCCCATTCTGTAGGTTTTCTGTTTGCTCTGTTGATAGTTTCTTTTGCTGTGCAGAAGCTCTTTCATTTAATTAGGTCCCATTTGTCCATTTTTTATTTTGTCACACTTGCTTTTGGTGTCTTCGTCATGAAATCTTTGCCAGGTTCTGTGTCCACCATGGTATTTCCTAGATTATCTTCCAGGTTTTTTATAGTTTTGGGTTTTACATTTAAGTCTTTAATCCATCTTGGGTTGATTTTTATAAATGGTGTAAGGAAAGAGTCCAGTTTCAATCTTCTGCATATGGCTAGCAAGTTATCCCAGCACCATTTGTTGAATAGGGATTTCTTTCCCCATTGTTTTTGTCAACTTTATCAAAGATCAGATGGTTGTAAGTCTGTAGCATTATTTCTGGGCTCTCAATTCTGTTCTATTCATCTATGTGTCTGTTTTTGTACCAGCACCATGCTGTTTTGGTTACTGTAGCCTGGTAGTATAGTTTGAAGTCAGGTAACTTGATACCTCCAGCTTTGTTCTTTTTGCTTAGGATTGCCATGGCTATTCAAGTTCTTTTTTGGTTCCATCTAGTTCTGTGAAGAATATCATTGGTAATTTGATATAAATAGCATTGAATCTATAAATTACTTTAGACAGTATAGCCATTTTAACAATACCGATTCTTCCTATCCATGAGAATGGAATGTTTTCCCATTTGTTTGTGTCATTTCTGATATCTTAGGGCAGTGTTTTCTAGTTCCAATTGTAGAAATCTTTCACCTCCCTGGCTAACTGTATTGCTAGGCGTTTTATTTTACTTTTTGTGGCTATTGTGAAAAGAACTGTGCTTTTGATTTGGCTCTCAGCTTGGATATTGTTGGTGTATGGGAAAACTGGAAAGAAAACATAACATCTACCATAACAAGAAAGCTCCAGATAAACGATACAATTATAACTCTTTTTCCATCACAGAACTAAGGTTGCAGCACAACCAAGAAGCCTGAAATTTAAAGAAAGGCCCTTATTGGGATGTAAGCACTGTCATACCTGAGTCAAAGCATGAGATGAAGAGATGTTAGCTGCCACACAAACAGGATAAAAAAGAAAAAAGTGGGTTAGATGAAATATTTGAAAAAATAAAAATAATGGAAAACATGAAAATACATATCCAAGAAATGCATGGGACCCCATGCAGCATATGTGAGGGAAAAAATCTAACTAGACAAATAAAATCCAAACTGCTGGAAACGAAAAGTCAAAAGAAAATCTTGAGGACAATCCAAATAAGAATTAGTAAGAAATAGTAAGAATTAGTAAGGAATAAGAAATAGTAGATATCGCATTAGAATTTGTGCAACCCAGAAGACAATAGAGTGACATCTTTAAAGCATTGAAAGAAAAAAAAAACTAGCATCTCAGAATTCTATATTTTTTTATCCATTGCTAGAATCAGCAAGAATTCTATATCTTTTAAAATAAAATCAAATAAATATTGTTTTGAACAAACAAAAGATGAAAGAATTAACTATCAGCAGATCTGTGCGAGATGAAAAATTAAATGAGTACTTTAGCAGGAGGAATAAGATCCTAGAAACATAGTTGTACACAAAGAAATGAAGATTACAGAAATGCTGAAAAGGAAGGTAAATATCAAACACATTTTTAAGTTGACAATTATCCTGAAAGATAACTGAATGACCAAAGCAAAAGTAGTAGCCATGTAGTGTATGTTGGTAGAATATTCACATCTAAAATTTAT